ATTTATCTATGACGCTGTTATTATTATTATTTTAACTTTTATTTTTGTTTTATTTTTTTTTTACACTTCATGGATATGTACGGTTTTTTCATAAAAACCGAAGTTTGAACGTTTCCCCGTTTTTTTTTTTTTTTAATTGTAAAAAGACCGGAGTGTTGCATGTTTAGCTTAGGAAACAAAGGGTAGACGCGAGTTCATGTTATTTTATTTTTTTTTTTTTCAAAGGGAAGAAAAAAAAAAAAGAGTGAAAAGTAAAAAGTTGCGAGTTTGACTAGCTGTGTTGTGTTGTTTATTTTATTCGGTTCTTCCATATCCGGTCTTAGTCAAGACAGCGTGCAGGCATTTTTTTTTTTTTTTTTTTTTTTCGTTTTCGTTTTAATTTTTCGTTTTAGTTTTTCCTTATCATCATCATTATTTTCATTTTCATTTCGTTTTGTATTTTTGTGTGTGATTTTTCGTTTTTAGTTTTGTGTTTTTTTGAAAACATAAAATTCCAATTTTTTTTTTTAAATATTTTTTTTTTCATTTCGAGAGGTAAGGAAAAGGAGAATTAAATTGAATTATTATTATTATTATTATTATTATTATTATTATTATTATTATTATTTATCGACTCGGTTGGAAAGAAGAAGATAGACAGATAGATTGATAGAAAGATGAAAAAAGAAGGAAAAAATTAAAAGAGTAATGTGTAACACATAAAATGTTTCCTGTGTTGTTTGTTTGTTTGTTTGTTTGTTCTATTTTTATTTCTTAACGCGCGTATCTCTCTCTCTCTCTCTCTCTCTCTTATGCTTTTAGGCTGAATCGTGTCGTTTGTTCGTTCGTTCGTTCGTTCACATTTCGGTTGGTTCGAGAGAGAGAGAGTGATTTTTTTCTCTCTCTCTTTCTATTTCACAAGTATAGTTTTATTTCAATGAATGGAAAGAGAGAGAGAAAGAGAAAAAGAAATAAAAAGAGAAAAAAAATCACGTGCTATAATTGTTTGTGCGGGTTTGACTGACTGTGTGATTACTTCCTTCCGACCCGCCTTTAATTCATCCCTAAAAATTTTCCCTCTTTCTCTCTCTCTCCCTTTCTCTCTCTCACTCACTCACACTTTCAATTGCCAATTTGCAATTCGCACGAGCGAGCGAGCAAGCAAGCGAGGGAGATGATGATGATGATGATGATGATGGGGGTCGTCGTGTGTTTGTGTTTGTATAGTTTGCCGTTTCGCCCAATTGTTATGCAAAAATTTCTCGTGTGTGTGTGTGGTTTTTCGTAATGTGAACGTGGCCGAGCATGGCCATTGACTGACGCCACCCCTTTTTTAACCGTAATTTATTCAAAACAAATTGTCCATTTTTTTTTCCGCATAATCATTTTTTTTTTTTTTTTTTTTTTTTTTTTTTTTACTCTGATTGTGATTACAGTGGGAATTCTAAAATAATTGTAAGTAACATTCCGCTTCACGCAAGATACGAAGATTTGGAACCATTATTCTCTCAATTCGGTTCTGTTCAAAGTTGTGAAAAGAGTAATTCAAGGGATGGAAATAGCCAGTCGTATCAAGTCGTGTATGAAACTCAAGAACAAGCCCAACAGTAAGTTTTTCCCCATCACATTTAAAGTGGTTGTAGTAGTTAGGTAGTAGAGTGGGTAGTAGGTAGTAGGTAGTAGTTAAATGGAAATTGTATTACATTTTTGTCTAGCAGGAAAAAAAAAAAAAGAAAAAAGAAAAAAAGTTTAGTCATATTACTCTTTTTAATAATTGTAACGTTATTACGTAGGTTATTACAAGGTTTGAAATTCTATTCGATTCTAAATCTGTTTTTTTTTTTTTTTTTTTTTTTTTTTTTTCTTATGCAATTTAATTTATCGTTGCTGACTCGTAAGCGAAGAATTTTTTTTTTGTTATTTAAGATGTTATGTGGGGGGAGGGGAGGGAGGGATTATTATACGTTTTTTTTTAATCTGAAGAATCGATGTCTCAATCAATCAAATAATAATGGGTTATTTTCCGTTATTGGATGGTTTTATTCTAAATTAATTTAATTTTTTTTTTTTTTTTTTTTTAGGGCTATAAATCAATTAAATTCGTACAAGTATGATAATCAAGTTTTAAAAGTGGAATTTGCTATGGAAAGGCGTAGAGGCGGTGGTCGAGGGGGGTCACGAGGAGGCGGAGGAGCCTACGGTGGTCCCGCTGCTTCGGCGAGGCAGACTGATTTTCCACTTAGAATTCTCGTTCAAAGTGACATGGTTGGAGCCATTATAGGCCGACAGGGAACAACAATCAGACAAATTACTCAACAAACCAGAGCCAGGTTAATATTGATATTATTATTATTATTATTTTGCTGCTGCTGCTGCTGTTGTTTTACTTTGCAACGTAAAAATGTTAATTAAAAAAAAAATTTTCTTTTGTATTCAAAGGGTGGACGTCCATCGCAAGGATAACGTTGGTTCTTTAGAAAAAGCTATTACTATTTACGGAAATCCAGACAATTGCACAAATGCTTGTAAAAAAATTTTAGAAGTAATGCAAGCAGAAGCGAGCAATACGAACAAAGGGTAAATTTATTTATTTATTCTTTTTTTTCCCTCCCCCTCCCTCCCCCGATCTCGAAATGAAATGGGTTATTTATAAAAAATTTCAATCTTGTTTTTCCTTCTTTACAGAGAAATTTCATTAAAAATTTTGGCTCACAATAATTTGATTGGAAGAATCATAGGGAAAGGAGGAAACACGATTAAAAGAATTATGCAAGACACCGATTCAAAAATTACAGTATCCAGGTAATTATTATTTTTTTTTTTTTTAATTTATTTCGAATTCATTTAATGTCGCCATGTTTGTTTGAAAAAAAAATCACGTTGAAAAGTCATCATCATCATCATTGTTATTTTTTTTATTTTTTTATTTTTTTTCCAGTATAAACGACATAAACAGCTTTAATTTGGAAAGAATAATCACAGTAAAAGGTACAATCGATAATATGAGCAGAGCCGAATCGGAAATCAGTGCTAAACTCAGGCAAAGTTACGAAAATGACCTTCAGGCCATGGCACCCCAGACCATGATGTTTCCCGGCCTTCATCCGATGGCCATGATGTCAACAAATAACATGGGTTATTCTTCGCGTCCGGGTGCTTTTGGTGGAGTTTATGGGTCCGGAGCACCCATTCCGTATTCTCCCATTTACCCACCGGCAGGGCCTCAGCAAGGTCCCTCCCAAGGTGGAGATTCTCAAGTAAGTTTCGAGCAAGCTATAAGTGGTGAACTCAACCTGAACCAAAAATAAAATTAAATACCTTGGAACCTATCTGTGTATGAATGACGGGATAACAGTGGATTTACTTTTTATTCGCAGAATTAATACCCTTCGAATTTACCTACCTGTATTATATTTGCCCCTGTACTACATTTATTTCCTTTACAAGTAAGTAAATAACCTCATCAAATCTGTCCCGCTCCTCGAAAATTATTATTATTATTATTTTTTATTTTTTATTTTTTTTTGTCGAAAATTATAAAAGATGATTTTTTTCGATTCGAATTAAAATTGTTTCATTTTTTTTTTTTTTTTTTGCAGGAAACTACATTTTTATTTATACCAAACAGCGCAGTTGGTGCCATTATCGGCACAAAGGGAACTCACATTAGGAACATAATCAGATTTTCAGGAGCCTCTGTTAAAATAGCTTCATTAGAACAAGAAAAAGGAACGGAACCGCCTGCTGAAAGAAAAGTTACTATTGTTGGCACTCCTGAGTCTCAGTGGAAGGTAGTATCGAGATCCGTCTGACTTTGATAATAATAATAATTATTATTAATGGTTGAATTTTTAAATTTTACAGGCTCAATATTTAATATTTGAAAAAATGAGAGAAGAAGGTTTTATCGGGAGTGGAAACGACGATGTTAAATTGACTGTTGAAATTTTGGTTCCTTCGTCTCAGGCAAGTTTTCTCTCTCTCTCTCTTTCTCTCTGTCTCTCTCTCTCTTTCGAAGGTTTAATTTAATTATATTGAAAATTCCAGGTTGGACGCATTATTGGTAAAGGAGGTCAAAACGTGCGTGAGCTTCAACATGCAACAGGTTCAATAATTAAACTTCCTGAACAAGGAGCTGCTCCTCCCGCGCAAGAAGAAACGACCGTACACATCATTGGACCCTTCTTTTCAGTTCAGGTACGTACAGGTTTTTTTTGTTTAATAATTGCAAAAAAAAACAAAATATAAATGTTTATTTATTTATTTATTTATTTATTTATTTTTTTTTTTTTTTTAACATTTAGTCTGCTCAACGAAGGATTCGATCCATGGTACAGTCGTCTACACCCGGGGGAGGAGGTGGTGGTGGTGGTGGAGTGCGAGGCGGTCCTCCTAGAAGAGAACGAGAATAATAAAA